TTAAGTTTTCAGCGTAAATAACAGGAATTTGTTGTCGACTGAAAACGTAAACATTAATGATATATTGCAGTGATTCGCAACCTTTTGCGTCTTCCTACCCACGGGTCATTTTGCCAAAAAAAAAAAAGGATTGTGTTCCAACCATAGTAAAAACTAACTACATGGAGCTGAGTCTTACCTGAGAAGCTGCCAGTCGCTTAGCTACTCAAGAATTTCCGAACATTTTATGGAACCCGAAGGTTCATTACAGTGTTCACTAGAGTCCTCCACTGGTCCATATCCTGAGCCAGATCAATCCAATCCATACTACCCCATTCTATCTAAGATCCTTTTCAATATTATCCTTCCCTTGCCTTTTGGTCTTCCTTGTGGTCCCTTTCCTTCTGGCTTTCCTACTAGAATCCCATATGCATTCCCCTTCTCCCCCATGCGTGCTATATGCCCTACTCATTTCATCTTCCTTGACTTGATCATGCTTATTATATTTCGCGAACAATACAAGTTATGACGATCTTCATTACAGTACAAACTATGCCTTTCTTCTTTCAAAAATTGACTTTTTAAAGTTACATACATTCCGATATTGTATTCGTCATTAAAGTAAGTAATTTTCATGATCCCGGTCACCGACTAGGTTGCCCTAGAGGCACACACACTAGATTCGCAGTCTGGAGCTCGAAACCCGGCCGCGACACCAGCAACATGCTTTCAGTTCCTTCACGCAACTTCCGCAATATTACCACCATTAGGCCAAGACCGCGTTCTTACAGATTCTTTTCTGTTCATCAATCATCGGTGGACATCTGTGCTAGTTCCAAGATGGGGTACATAAGCCATTTTGGAACTGGCACAGATGTCCGGAGATAGGTACTAGCTCTATCAACTGGGCCCAACTGAGTAGGTTTTACCTGAACACGGAGAAAGAATCCAATCTCCGAAACGTTGTGTTTTGAAATATAAACAGGACGCACTGATATATTGGGTTTTTGGACTTTATCCATCGTCCGTTAGAAAGAGCTAGCCTCAATCACTGACATTGAGGCTAGCTCTTTCTAACGGACCCAATAGAATAGGTGTTTTCCTTCACCTGAGGACGGAAACAGATCCAGTTTCCGAAACGTCGTGCTTTTATTAGTTATCTTAAAAACCAGGACGATGGATAAAGTCCAAAAATCCAATATATCAGTGTGTCATAAACCATCGTCAGAATCCTACAGTAACTACTAACAAACAGGACGGTTTTTAGAAAAGACAAGACGATGGATAATGTCCAGAACACAATATCTGTACTGATGTACCGTCATCACAAACTTACAGACCTTATTTGCCTATCATAGTATTTTAAAATCATATAGTTAATAAATTAAGTAACTATTTTCATGGAACTGAGAGATTCTTGAGAAGCCGCCAGTTGTGCAGCTACTCAAGAACTTACCAGCATTCTATGGAACCACAAAGTTCATTACAGTGTTCACAAGAGCCTCCACTTGTCTCTATCCTCCAGCCAGATCGATCCAGTCTATACTACCCCATCCTACGTCTCTAAGATCCATTTTAATATTGTCCACCCACCTACGTCTTGGTCTTCCTAGTGGTCTCTTCCCTTATGGCTTTCCAAATAATATACTATATAAAATTATCAATTAGTGTAGTAACGTATTTTTGTATATGAAAGCAAGAAGTTCGTTTCAAATGATTTTTGTAGCCATGAACATTCATCCCCCTTACTTAAAAATAATCTGAATATAATGCGTTCATCTCTTTCCGGGCTGGCAGAACATTTATAATCTCCAATCTGACCCTTCGAATATTTTATTTTCAAACTCCCGATAGATATTGACAGCATCGTAAAATAGCCAACATAAAGAATTCGAAATTTGGAGCACAGTTCCCACTGTTATTTAAAGAGCCGTTCCCTCGAGTCTTCCGACAACACTTTTACTCTAAGAGCACAGCAACCCTGACTGTGCTAGCCAACGTCTATTGATCAAATCTTATCTACGACAGAGTGTATGGATTGTGCCCATCAAGATAACTCTTGTAACATTATCAAAAGCTTGGCATCTCCACCTCTGCACAGGACACCTCTGGTAAAGCTAACCCTGTAAGGTAGGCCGCACACCGGCATGCGTCAAGACATGTAACAGTCAAGACACGATGTGTGTGACATGAAGCAAAGAAAGGAGTACAGTTGAAACGAATGAGATTATGAAAACCGCAGCACACCGGTCTGAGTCATGATGCTGACGTCAGTTTCACGCTGCAGATATGTGCAGCAAGACTTGGTATGTTCCTTTTCTGTGCGTCAAGACTCAGACATCAGTACTCAAGGAGCAGCACCAGTGTACGGTATCGACATGACTGAAGAGCAAATAAATATTAAAATAGTGCAGACGGTTGAGGAATTTCCGGTAATATACGATTATTCGTCCCCGGGCTGGAATTTCACCGGATCGTTTAACAAAACGTACGCACCGTGTTGAGCACACGACTAATAAAAGTCATGAATCCACTTCATTTTCTTCTTTTACGAAATTTAAGCCACATGTACATTAAAATGTATTCCTCACTGGACGACGTCATGTCATCAAATAGGGAAGATGTGATAAGACGCAGACAGGTGCTACTTCGATGTGCGGACTTGATGTCCCATGTCTTGATGCTTGTCTTGATACAATTGGTGTGCGGCCGCCCTAAGAAGCCGTGGAAGCCCATAAGTTTGGGAGAAGTCGAGGCTCCCATATTTTATAGACAATCGGCTCACAGATGACGGTAAAGTGGTCAGCCTTGCGCCCCGGCCGCCATTTACGCCCAAAAGGACTCCTGGTACTCATTTCTGTTAGATCCTGAGCCGACCCCAGGCCCATAGTAGGGCTGGAAGGATTAGGTCAATTGGAAAATCCAATGGCCTAATCAGGAGGCCTCGCGACCTTCCTTAATATTCTCAAACCCAAAACATTATAACTGCAAAATTTAAACGAGTGACTTCATTTTAATGCCCTATTTGTCCTGCTAGTCTCCTTCCCGCTTCTACTTTATCATCTTATATGCCTACCCTGCTTTTAACTCTCTTTTCTTCTCCTTATATTCTTAATCTCTTCTTTCATCCTCTTATAGTTCTCCTCTTCTAGATATTCTCTTATTTTCCATGCACCTTTTCGTCTTAACCTTCGCTTCTTCCAACAGTTTCTCTTTCTTTCTTCAACCTTCATCCTTTTTACTCTTCTGTGTTCTATTTTATCTCCACCCATTCCTCCTTTTCCCTTCGCGACCAGAACACTTGTGCGTTCCGGGTATGAAAGGAATTCACAGATAATGATTCTGAAATATCCACAAACTCCATTGAGCTCAGTCCTTGAAAAGCCGCCAGTCGCTCAGATACTGAGGAAGTTCCCAAAATTTTATGGAACTCAAAAGTTCATTACCGTGCTCACAAAATCTCTGTGTTTACTTCTAGACCAACCTCTTTACTTGCGTCAATTAAAGTTTGTGTGTTTTTCTTTATGGTATCTACATTATCACCCAGTAGATTCACATCATCGGCATAGACCAACAGCTGATGTGTCCGTTTAGTTTCAGTCCCACCTGGTTTCCCTGGACCTTCCTAATTGCATATTCTAAAGCAAAGTTGAAAAGGAGTGGCGATAAAGCATCTCCTTGTTTTAGACCAATCTGGATAGGAAATTTATCAGACAAATGTTTACCTACACGGACTTACTATACGTTTCGTTTAAATACATTTTAATCGACCTAACTAGTTTCATGGGTATCCCAAACTCTATCAGAATATTGTACAATACTTCCCTCCTAACTGAATCATAGGCTTTCTTGAAGTCTACGAATAGTTGATGTACTGTCTCATCGTACTCCCATTTTTTTCTCCAATATCTGACGAATGCAAAAGATCTGATCTGTAGTTGATCTGTTACGTCGAAACCAACACTGATGATGCTCAATAATTTCATCTATATATGGACTTAACCTTGAGAGAAGAATATTGGACAAAATTTTATATGAAGTTGATAGCAGTGATAGCCCTCGATAATTACTACAGTCAGTTTTATCACCCTTCTTGTGAACTGGTACATTAATAGACTCCTTCCAGTGATCAGGCAATTTTCTTTATGCCAAATAGAAGTAATTAGATTGTGGATCTTAGAATGTAATATTTTACCTCCTGCTTGAATAAGTTCTGGCGGAATTTGATCACTACTTGGCGATTTATACCGTTTCAATTTTGCAATAGCACTTTCAACCTCAAAAGGGCTAGGATCAGGTATTAACTGCTCAGCTGTATGGATTTCCGTCTGTCTAACATCACTGACCCTATGTACATTTAATAATTGAGAGAAGTAGTTCCTCCACCTATTCAAAATATTGCGGGAATCTGCAAGCAGATCACCATTCTCATCCTTCACTAAGTTACTGCTAGGTTTGTAACCCTTCTTAAAGTCATTTATTCCTCTATACAAGTCTCTAATGTTCTTGTTCTTACTGTTCATTGCAAGCTCATCAATTTTGTCTTTCAAATATTCCCTCTTTTTGTTCCTGAAATGCCTGCTGGTTTCGCGTCTTATATTGTTCAGATTATCCCCATTTAACTCGCTTGGATCCTGTAACCATTGCAATTTGGCCTGCTTTCTTTGGTCTAATAATTCTGAGCATCCTTCATCGAACCATGGCTCATGCTTCTTCGGTTCATAATAACCTAGACTCTCTTTGGCAGACATTTTTATATTCTCTCTAATAGTTTCCTAAGCTTTATTAACATCCACCTCAGTTTCCAAATTTTCCAAAGCCGCAAATCTATTGTGTTCTACACAAGTTAATTGAATTTCGTTCACATTCATCAAGCACTTCCCTTTTTTAAACAATTTTTAACACGCGTTAGCTTTTTGAGCCACCCGATATACGATGGTGTAAAGTTGCTTTAATAATCAATTCAGATCTTCTGGGTAAAGCAGCTTATGTCTGCAAAGCGAGAAGATAAGTTTTCTTACCCGCGACGCTGTCTGGGAGCAAAGCCATCTGCTGGGAGAGAGCAGCATCACCGTCTTTTGAACCCCACAGAGCCACCTATCGGCAATAAACAAAATTAGTTCAATTGGAATTTGAGGTTCTCACATCAGAGACCCTGTACAATTTTCGGGGAAATGACGCCATATAATATGATACAGGTTCTAAGAATAAGTTCAGTAGCCACCATGAAGCAGGCAGCAGCGAAAATTTGTTTGCTGTTTGCTTCTTTTGGGTGCTTACTCTTCGGCAATCGGCATACGAAGATATTTTCCACGGGGTGTTCAGCCAGTTTTCTAAGAGAACAACCAGAAAATTTGCTCACGAATTTACTTTTAAGCAGTTTAAGATTATTTTTAATGATAACTCTTAAGAGTATTCATAATACAAGAACAGTTTCAGCCTACTTCCACTATTTCGAAAGAAAAAAGGGCTTATGAAATCATCTTGCTACATTTGTTCCACTCACCCCTATTTTTTTTTTCTATGCGGTCAGTTTCATATGAATGGAAGGTAGGGGATCAGTTTCCTCTGAACTTCTTTTCAAAATATTTTTATTTTTAGCCTAATCTCCTTATTTTATACAAACAGAAGCAAGCTTATGCGGTCACCATGCTGTCTGTGTATACCCCACATTAACTTTCGAATGGTTGAACCGATCTTTATGAAACTTGGTTGTGTATACCATGGCAACTGAGCCTGTCTCAACCGCATACTTCATAAAGCCTTCCCATCTATATACTCTTATTATTGTAAGTAACAGCTTGGCAGACACGTTACCGCGTCACAGAGTGCATACGCAACAATAGAAGAATTGTTGGACACGTCGTTTTCTATGCGGTCCATGTTGTATGAAAGGAAAGCAGGCAAATTAGTTCTTCTTAGAACTTATCGTTTTGGTATTAATTGCTATGATTCCTTCTTTTCTTCCTTTTTGAGTAGTTACTATAGGATTCTGACGATGGTGTATAACACACTGATATATTGGGTTTTTGGACTTTATCCATCGTCCTGGTTTTTTTAAGATAACAAATAAAAACACGACGTTTCGGAAACTGGATCTGTTTCGGTCCTCAGGTGAAGGAAAACACCTATTCAGTTGGGTCCGTTAGAAAGAGCTAGCCTCAATCACTGGACCAAAACCAGGACGATGGATAAAGTCCAAAAACCCAACATATCAGTGTTTCCTTTTTGAGGTTTAGCAGAACTCCAAGAGAGGAAAGAGATGCTTTATTTGCCCCCCCCCCCACTGTTGGCGCCCATACCTTCGACCTTGAAGACAGAGGCGGAACGTACATAGAAAACTTCGATGAATTTCTACAGGTCTTTGCGGCGTCACATCCCAAAAGATACTCTTCAAAGTTTCATTTAATTCAAATTTTGAGGAACCAGTCAACTTGACAATGATTTCTACAGGAACAAGATACCGCCAACTTCAAACAACAGCAAGAAGTTTATCCCAACTTTGCATCTCTTCGTCTTACCACGATATCGGGCGAGGCCTTTCCATTTAAGCATGGAACAATGACTGTTAGCAGATATCATCAACAGACAGAACCCAGTAACTAGGTCCTATAGTCCCATACACTGACTTATCACAGATGCATATCACGCAGCAGCTCCACGGAACAGAAGGCCGACAGTCGCTCAGATGCACAATACATTTCCCAACTTCTACGCAACTCGAAGGTTCAGTGCCACGTTTGCAAGATCACGCTGCTGAATCCCATCTTAACCAGAGGAAACACAGCCCACACCTTCAGGCCATATTTTTAACATACATTTTTTGGTTATTTTCTTTCATTTGAAATAACACAAGGAGGCTTATGATATCACCTTGTTCTCTCTGTGTCCATGTCACCCCCTGTCAACTTCTAAAAGCCTGAACCAGTCTTTATGAAACTTGGTATATGTACCATGGCACCTGAACCCATCTCAACGGCATGCTTCAAAAATCCTTCCCACAAGTCTCTGTGTCTCTATTTGTATCCACCCTATCATTACTAGGCAACAGCTCGGTAAACATGTTCCCGGGAAAATGAATACTCTCAACAATAGAAGAAATGTTGAAGGCGTCGTTTTCTATGCGGTCCGTGTCGTATCAAAATAAAATATGACAGTCTGTCTATGTATTCCCGGTTTATTATAGAATGTGATTCTAAATTATTGTCAGGGTTTCCGTCGCCTGTAATGTTCAAAACGGAAAAAATAAATTAAAGATGCCCATGTTGGAAATTGTTTAACATTCTGCAGATTGATTCTAAATTAAATAACATTTTTTCAGTTACACTTTCATATTCTGTGAGCAGTTTTATTTTTTTTTTTCTGATTAGAAAATTATAGGCCATAGAAACCACGACAATAATTTAGAATCATACATTATTTTAATGTAAGTTTACTTTGTTGTAGACCGCCTCTGTGGTCAGAGTTCCTGGTCACAGAACAAGAGATCCCGAGTTCGATTCCCGACACTACCAGATTTTCTGAAAAGTGGTGGGTCTGGAACGGGGTTCACTCAGCCTCGTCAGGATAATTGAGGAGCTATTTCGAGGAGCTACAGATTTCGGTCTAGAAAACCGAGATTAACGGCCGTGGGGATTCGTTGCGCTGATCACGCAGCACCTTCTACCCGCTAAAGTTGGCACTAACTTCGCCGACAAGCGGCGGTCGCTCGGTCCGTATATTTCGCTTGCGGACTACAGGCGACGGAGTTTATTTTGTTTCCGGTTTGAAAATTATAGGCCAGGGAAACACCGACAATAATTTAGAATCGTACGTCATTTAATGTAAGTTTACGTGATGGTTTGCCTCATACTATGTAAATAAAAGAAATAAAACATATTTACAAACTTTCGTAATTGATGGAAAATTTAACTGGACGAAATACTTAACAACTTTTGACATCAATCGATAAGCGCAAACGTTTAATTTTGAGAAAATTAAGGCACATTACATTGAGTTACATGAATTACATGAGGGGCAGAACGAAATACGACACAACTTACACAGGACATACGCGTTAGTGACAAGGGACGTACGAAATAGAAATCAATTTTATAAACGCAATGAAAACCCTAACACGTGTCCATGGCCTCTGGCGTCAGGCATCGATTTTAGCAATAACTTCCCTATGTACGGTCAGAGGACGAACCGACTCGGACGAGGTTCAACAGGGTGTACAGGATAAACTTTCGCATAATTAGCATACCGCCTTATGTTAGCAGATGGCAATGTTTTGAAGAATACCGTTTTCTGCAATGTGACACCACGTAGATCTTGTGCGAACCGACGTTTCGGAGGACCGCATCGCCATCATCTTGAGGGTAGATTTGTATTGGATCATTACCATGGGCGCCGGCATAGGGAACAACCAAGCATCTGCAACCTCGGTCCGGGATTTTTTAAAATATCAAGATAAAAAGGAAAGAAACATCAATACCGGAACCTACAGATCATGTTGGAATATAGAAAAAGCTCTGTGCTTGTATTCGGGAAACTATCGGTTCGAATCTCGGCCGGGTTCACTGGCCGTACTGACAGAGATTTTCGTTGATTTTTTCCTCAGTTGCTCCAGGAAAATTCCGAGATAGTGCCTCAATTAGGTCACGAGTATTTCTCTTACAAAATCCATGCCCATTTATCTGTCATTCTACCGCCCTATTCTATATTTTCTCGATATAAAAACAACGTTAAATACCATATAAATTCAAAAATTCCAAAGATTGAAGTTATTTTCAAATTCTGAGCTTTTCAATATAGAGATCTACAATTCTAGGTCTATCTGTAAAAATAAATAGTTCAGATGTTAAGACCGTAATCAAATTGTCAGCCTACGCCTCTCCCCCAGCCCGAAAAAAAATGCTGTCAGTACCCATGCCGCTTCCATACGTTGCTCTTTCCATACCGAAATTTAAAGACTGCTACTCAAACTAAAGGCTCTCTTATCGCGCGCTGCTGTCGAGTGGGTGCTACGCCTGGCATCATATCCAGCAGAACTCAGGTTCGTATCACGGCCCATATACCGGGTACACTCACTAACATTTCTCACTGTATCCCTGAGTACTTCCGGGTAACTGCCAGAACAATATCTTGAATTAGGTTATGATTCCTCCTTCCAACACATCCTTTCCAATTAACTACTCTCGAGTCTACACTATCAATACAGTCCAATCTACTGACATTGTTACACAAACCATAAATAAATAAAACACAACGTTCTATAGAAACGCGCTGTAAGGGCAGTAGAAATATTCAGTACCGGTAAAAGCATCTGATGCGATGGGCATATCGATTTTATCCACTTCACATTGTCTTTTTGGGGTCATGACAACAAAAATTTAGGTTACGTAAGAAGATTACTGTCTTCTGACATGTGACGCCGTGTAGTCCGATAGAAGTTCACAGACGTTTCGGAGGAATATATTCGCTCCATTTCCAGGATCTAAAAATAATCCGAACAAGAAAGAAATAAAAATTCTGCTTGTTACATGTTCCATGCTTGGTTTAAGTTTACACCCTGAAGATGGAGGCAGTTCGTTCCTTCTATCGGACTACACGGCGTCACATTCCAGAAGACACCGCTGTGGTCTATGATGGGTTGGAATAGGAAATGACGAGGAAATAGAATGATCTACTGAAAAAAAAATGTGCCCCTTAGCGGCTTTAGAAAAATATATATTAAACGAGATAAAAACGTGAGTCATTTTAAAGGCATTAAAGGATGAAGGCTGAGAAGAAAATGTGTTTAAGGGAAAGGGTGCAGCAGCTTTCCACAGATAACAGCCAGAAAATTTGCTTACAAACTTACGGATAAGCTGTTTAAGAATATTTTAGCCTACTTTCCTTATTTTGAAAACATAAAAGTAGGCTTATGCGATTATCACGCTGCCTGTGAGCCCATAATTCTCCTCCCCCAATCAAATTTTGAATGTTTGAAGCAATATTTATGAAATTTGGTATACATACAATGGCACCTGAGCCTATCTCAACGGCGTACCTCACAAATTGCTCCCATCAGTCTGTGTATCTGTATGTATATCTCTTACCGTTGCTAGACAATG